TTTATATAAAATTTCAAATTAAAAATACATGTTGCAAAATTTTCAAGTATACTCAATCTCTGTAGTTATATGTACTTTGTATATTGAAATTTTTTGTGTATATTTCGATATCAAAAGACATTACATAAAATAAAATATAAATATATAGGTATATGTATATAAATGTAAAAGACATTATGTAAAAAATATGATATAAATGTATATAATTAAACATATAAGAATACGTGCTATCCAGGTAGCAAACTATAAACGTTATTTGTGATCATATTGACGCCATCATAGTTTGTTGCTTGGAACAGATCGAGGACCGCTGATTATAATTGGCGGGGGTGGTGGAGGGCATTTACGGGCTAATTTGTTCTAGCCCAATCAATATTTTATTTGTATTTTAAATTGAATGTAGTTTGCTTAGAAAAATGTCAAGTTTAGTCAATAACTTGCAAATTGCTAGTATAATCAATTAAATAAAGTAGCTTACATAAAAAATAAATTGTTTATGCAATATAGTAATTTTATCATATAATTTTTTATAATTTTATATTACATATAATGTCTTTTTTGCTATATTATTTTATATGCATTGTATTAAGTTATATATATATTTCTAGCGCATTCTTTAATTATATTTAAAAATAAATTTGTAGCGTATTAAATAATGAAATATAAATGTTTATGCAACGCAAATAGGCCCTGATTGGAATCGGGGATGATAAAAGATTTGTACAAATTTGTCTATTTTTGTTCAATTAAATTTTATTTGTAAATTAAGAATATATATATGTATACATATACATATGGCAACGTGCCAACGTGTAGTTTCAATATGCACGTTGGTGAACGGATTTCATTTAAACGCGCGTATGATATTTTTATTTTCAGACTTCCCTCTATACCGACTGTATGTATCTAACGTCGGTAACGTGTGTTATCCATTGGTAACATTCCTTGACATGGAATTATCGGGGTGGTTCAACTCCCCGAAAATATCTACAAGGTTAAGTATCGATTACTGTATCGAGGTTATACAGACATCTAGCTACTGGCCGAATCGGATATCCGAGGTGATGGGAGCCTGTAATTGACAAAGAAGGCAGCTGGTAAAGTGAAAGTGGTTGGCCTTTGCCTCTCGTTACATATTTCGAATTGAAACCGGATCAAAGCAAACATGTCCGTCGTGAGAGGTGTTACGGTTCTCTTCGCGCTTTCGGTAAGTATAATAATACCTGTTTCGAAAAAGATTAGAACAAACAACGTGCGAATGTGGGTGTAAAACAATCCACGTAAATCGCGATAAGAAATCGAGCCATATAATTCTTTATTCGTAATTTTGTCGTGTTCCTTATCTCTTCGAAACCTTGACTCAATCGTGCAGGTATTCGCTACCATGATATATTTAATCTTTTAATGGGCTTTTACAAATGTTTCTTGTAGTTCGGGGTTTTTTAAAACGATAAAAGAAATTGTATATTTATTTACAATGTTTACATCTTTATACATATGATCCTTTGGACAACTAAATGTCGATAAAGCAGTGCGTCTGTAAAAAAATTCGTTAGATTTATATTGACTCTTAAAATCAATTCATTTAATTTTCTAACGAGTTTTAATAATATTTCTTACAACTTAATGTTTTTAAAATGATAGAGAAAAAAATCGTATATCTTCGAGTAATCGAATGTCGATAAAATAGTGCATTCGTAAATAGAAAACCAAAAGAGCAATTGCGCAAAATATAAATAATCTACATTACACGTATAAAATGAAGATTATGTAAACTAAAAAACAAAATGATCTAAAAATGTCTTATATTTCGATTTTAAAATTTTTTTGCAGGATATATTTGTTTACTCGGTTCGGGTAAAACAGGGCAGAGAGGCTGTCGTCGGGAGATGTCCTGTGGAGAGAAGCTGAGACTTGAGAGAAGCCAAGAGAAGCGAAGCGGGAGACGCGGAGCGGCGGAGCGGAGCCAAGCGGAGCCCGAAGCGGCGCTTCAGTCTTCACAATGCTTCACAAATGGCCGGTGACGCGAGGCAGGCGGTCGTGAATGTCGTGATAACGTCGTTCGGGCACCGTTCGATCATCCACACGGCGACGAGATGATACACGGCTGCGGACGCGATCCCTCCTCGATCGAGAACACGTGAAACTTGCAGTTCGGATTTAATCCCCCGCCATGGTCGCATGGCTCGCCGTCACTTGCCTCCTCGGCTGCGGCGTTTTTTTCTGCGATGGTAGGTGGCATCGAATGGCCCAAGTCTCCGAATCCCGTTGTTCTTCCTTTTCGAAAATGGATACCTTTCCTCCGAGCCGCGGCTCCTCTTTCTCCTTTCCTCTCCTTTCTCTTTCGGGATCGTAGTATCTTTGTGTCGCTGTCGCTCGGCGTGCGGTTGTTGCTCCATGTTTGTTTTGTTTGCATTGCGCGTTTGTGTATGTTTTGTGTACGCGTCGTACTTTATCTCTCCTCCGTTTTCCCTTTTCCTTTCTTAAGACGACGTCAACGATGTTTTTATCTCTGGCGTCCCTTTAACTGAGTGCTTTTATTTTTTATTTTTTTCAAAATATGTTTTACAATAAAATAAATATGTATTATTTTACTAACGATACTATCGATCTTTCAGGCTCGCCTTTTCTCCTCTTCGCCACTCACAAGGACATCAGAGTGGCCAACATGTCTCGTAACAATAAGGTCAACGTCATCATCAAGGACCTGTCGGAAGGCGCGTCGCTGGACTTCTTCTACGAGCGCGGGCTAATCTGTTGGTCCGACAGCGGTCTGGAGATGATACAGTGCATACGCTACAACGGCACGCACACCGGCGAGAGGCTGACAGTGGTGAATTCCAGTCTGATATCGCCCGACGGTCTCGCGTGCGACTGGTTCACGGACAAGCTGTACTGGACGGACGGCGAGAAGAACCGGATCGAGGTGACCAGCATCGACGGCCGTAACAGGAAGGTGCTCTTCTGGACGGACATCTATCAACCGCGCGCTATCGCTCTGGCGCCGATGGAGGGGCTCCTCTTCTGGACCGACTGGGGCGACGTGCCTAAGATCGAGCGCGCCTCGATGGACGGTGATCCGAGCACGCGCGAGATCATCGTCTCCGATGACATATTCTGGCCGAACGGCCTGACGATCGACTATGAGAGGAAGCTCATCTACTGGGCGGACGGTAGACTGTGGTTCATCGCCGTGATGGATTATGAGGGCCGGAATAGGCGCAAATTGATCACCCGCGATCTCGACTATCCGTTTGCCATAACGTTCTTTGACAATCGGCTCTACTGGACCGACTGGAAGACGTGGTGCATCCACTCGTACGACATGAACCAGCCGCAATCGCACCCACGCGAATTGTTCCACGGCGAATACATACCTGGTAATGAATAATATTACTTGTGCAAACGTTGATCGAAGTTGCGTTGTATTTGCCGCTTAAGATCACTTCAGTTACGTTCTTAACGCGTGTCTTTGAAAATCTGAAAGAATTATAGTATAGTATGCTTTTTATTTCTGGTAGATCGTTAGATTATAAATATTATGTTTTATACGATATTTATTAATTCTCCATATAAAAATCACGAGTTTTTATATATTTTGATATTATTTTCTATATGCTTTTATTAATTTTCTCAAATATATAATGTTTATATTAAATATTGTCTCTTTTAACTTCAGGAATTATAGTACAAGTGCTTTACTTTTAGTAGATCATAAATATTATTATAAATATTATTTTAAGATTATAAATATTATTTTTTGTATGATATTTATTAATTCTCCATATAAAAATCACGATTTTTCATACATTTTGGTAATATTTTCTGTGTGCTTTTAATAATTTTCTCATATTTATAATGTTTTTATTAAATATCGTCTCTTTTAATTTCAGGCGACATTGAAGTCTGGGATGAGAGGAGGCAACCGGGCGGCAATAATCCCTGCAAGCGAAACAACGGCAATTGTTCTCATCTGTGCCTTTTGAGCTCGGTGAAGAGCCAACCTGGTTACAGTTGCGCCTGTCCCACGGGCGTCAAACTGATTGACAAGTACACATGCGCCAGCAGACCGGAGCAGTTACTTCTGATCGTCCAGCGCACCGAAATCTGCCGGATATCCTTGGATTCACCTGACTATACCAATTTCGTATTGCCGCTCACCAATATTAAGCATGCAATCGCGATTGACTTCGATCCGATGGAGGAGTTGCTGTACTGGACTGACGAACAAACAACCGCCATCAGGCGAGCGCCTCTCGATGGGTTGAGTCAGCAGAATGTGATTTCCACGGAGGTGCGCAGCTGACAATTGTGTTTCTTTTCTTTCTTTGATTTAATTTCTACTACATTTATTTTCGAAAACACGCGATTTGTAACAAAATCATTAGAAATGTCTTTCAGTGCCCCACACAATCTTTATTTTAAAAAGCATTTTCTTCTATTAGAAAATAATATCTTTTAAAGTCTAAATTTTGCGCAGTCCTGTTTTGTTATATTATTGCCCTCTATTTCTGTTTTCAACAGGACTAACAACAGATGCGCATTGCTGGAATTACGTGAAAATAATTATCGGCAAGTTTAGCTGATATCATTGCGGATAGATTGGAGAGATTTTTATTGCGGCAAAGAAGCAGCCGTATTTTTACAATATCGTTACATATTGGAGTAACCTTTCAGCTTTTGATTCTCAGGTGGCGAATCCGGATGGTATTGCGATAGACTGGCTCGCCCGCAACCTCTATTGGACCGACACCGGGACCGATCGGATCGAAGTGGCGCGACTGGATGGGAAATATCGGCGGGTGCTGGTGAACGAAGACCTGTTCGAGCCGCGGGCGATCGCGGTCGCGCCCGAGCACGGCTGGATGTTCTGGACCGATTGGAGCGAGAAGCGGCCGAAGATCGAGCGCAGCAATCTCGACGGTAGCGAGCGCATATTGCTCATCACCAAGGACATCGTTTGGCCGAACGGCATCGCCCTTGATCTCGAGCGCAACAAGATCTACTGGTGCGACGCAAAGATCGACAAGATCGAAGTGGCCAACATGGACGGTACCGATCGGCGCGAGGTCATCACCGACAATCTGCCGCATCTGTTCGGTCTCACTCTGCTGGGCGATTATCTGTACTGGACCGACTGGCAGCGTCGCAGCATCGATCGCGCGCACAAGCTTACCGGTGGCGATCGCGAGGTCATTGTCGACCAGGTGCCCAATGTGATGGGGATCAAGGCCGTGCATCTCGGCAAGATGAACGTCAGCAATTCGCCGTGCGCCCGCGACAACGGCGGATGCAGCCATCTCTGTTTCAACAAGCCCAACGGCAGGTGCGTATTGTTGGAATTGCGTGAAAATTTCTCGCCGAGATTCGTCGAGATCGTTTTAGACAGATCTGAGAGACTTTTATCAGGGTAGCTGAGAATCATATTTTCCGTCACGCAATATATTGAAGTAAATTAGTTTTAAGAAAGATTAAAGTAACGAATGTGTAAATTGAATTACGATTTATATATTTGCGAAAAATTAATATAAAATTGACACTATTTAGATACGTCTGCGCCTGTCAGATGGGCTTCGAATTGACCAAGGACAAGCGCACGTGCGTCGTGCCGGACGCCTTCCTGTTGTTCTCCAGGAGGGAGAATCTCGGCCGAATCAGTATCGAGAATGTCAACAATGATAATATCATACCTGTCACCGGCATCAAAGACGCCAGGTAACTGCAACGTTAAAGCGAATATTAGATTAGGATTAAATACAAAACATTAGAATGTTTATTAGAATTTTTTGACATTTTTGCGAAACTAGGAACAATACATATATACAAAAGAAATGGATATCCTTTTTATTAGAAATTTTGTGCCAAATTTAGAGTCTACTTTTTTCTCAACAATAGATTTTTTTAACCAATTACGGTTGTTTAGAATATTTATATTAATACTGTTTGTCATATAATGATAAGACAAGATGTTTTATTTTAACCCTGATGTATGTATATTTTTTGCTCTTTCTATAGTGCTATAGACTTTGACTTGTCCGAAAACCGTATTTATTGGACGGATCTTAAGCTAAAAACCATCACGCGTGTCTTCATAAATGGATCGGATATCGAAAAGATAGTCGATCTCGGCCTAGAATCGCCGGACGGCATCGCATTCGATTGGATCGCGCACAATCTCTACTGGAGTGATTCCGCCATGCGTAGAATAGAGATGATAAGAATAAAAGAAGGCAGCAGGAAAATACTCTTGTGGCAAAATCTTATCGAGCCTAAGAATGTAGCTGTGGATCCTCAGAAAGGGTGAGTTTTTTTGTCTCTTGTCCTGCTGTTACTTTAGATTAAATTTCACACAATCTTTATAGTAGCTTGGTTTCTATGTTTAATCGTTTCTATTTAAATTAACTTTAAATAAGTTAGTAAGAGATTGGCAAAAAGATGAGAAATAACGTAAAGATATTTCTCTCTCTTCAAACTATTTGATGTGTAACACACACAAAATGAAAAATATAATTAAAGATCATATAAAAATGTTTTTTATCTATAAAATTAGTCGATAATCTTGCACGTTAATCTTGTTTAACGTTTACTTATCTCTCTAGCCATTTGTACTGGGCCGAATGGGGCAATACCGGTAGTATCGAAAGGGCCTTGTTGGACGGCACGCAGCGACAAGTGATCGTTTCGCGTATCGACCGGGCGAACGGTCTGACAATCGACCATGTGGGGCGGAAATTGTACTGGACCGACATCTCCGCGCCCGCGATCAACTGTTACGATCTACTGACGCAACGGAGGGATGTCATCGTTTCGCGTCACATAGTCTATCCGTTCAGCGTTACGCAGTATCAGGACTACATTTATTGGGCGGATTGGAACACAGGTGATATCGAGAGGGCGGACAAGCTCACGGGGGCGAATCGTACCAAGATCCACACTAATCTGGCGTCGGTGACGGATCTGAAGGTGTTTCACGCGTCGCGCCAGGCGGGCACGAACCCGTGCGCGATCGCGAACGGCAATTGCACCCACCTCTGCATCGCGCTGCCGGGTCCGAACGGCGGCGCGTCCGTCACCCACAAGTGCGCGTGTCCCACGCATTATAATCTGTCGGAGGACAATCGGACGTGCAAGGCGCCGCAGCACTTCATGATCTACAGTCTGCGCACCGCGATCGTACGTTATCTGCCCGATCAGACGAACGACTGCGCGGACGTGACGTTGCGCGTGCAGGGCTTGAAAAATGTCCGCGCGATCGAGTTTGATCCGGTGACGCAGCACGTCTACTGGATCGACGGTCGCGCGACGATCCGCCGTTCTGCGGAAAACCAGACGCAGCAGCATCAGCAGCAGCAGCAACAGCAACAGCAGCAGCAGCAGCAGCAACAGCAGCAGCAGCAGCAGCATAGCAGCACTGTTGTAGTATCCATCGGAAACGGACATCTGTTCGACCTTGCGCTGGACCCGCTCGGGAGGCTGCTCTTCTGGACATGCTCGACGAACGACGCTCTCAATGTCACGCGGCTGGACAATGGCTCGGCTCTCGGCGTCGTGGTGAAGGGCGACGGCGAGAAGCCGCGTCACATAGCGATCTACTCGCAGCAACGACTGCTCTTCTGGACGGACATAGGCAAGAAGCGGGTGGTACGCAGCAAGATGGACGGCAAGGAGCGCCACGAGATCGCCAGCGATTTGCCGGAGCAGCCCACCGGCCTGACGGTAGACACGACGACGCACATCGTTTACTGGGCATACGGCAGGCACATCGAGTGCTCCAACTTCGAGGGCGGCAATCGCAACTTTCTGGTCACCACCACGCAGGGCGCGGCACTGCACTTAGCCATTCTTTTCAGTTATCTCTACTGGTACGACCGCGACGTGCAGGTGAGTGACAAGTGTTTTTATTACCGGTTCTCTTTCGGGTTATTTATTACCTGCAGACTTTCAAGATTTGTAAAATTGGAGATCGGAGAACAGCATGAGGATCTACATATATCTTATACTTATCTATGATATGTGAATTTCGATAGATGATTGAACGGGTCAACAAGACGTTCGATGGGAACACTAGGCGAGGCGCGCATGTAACGACGAGTCGCACGTCTTTCACGGATCTCATCGCGGTTAACATGCCTGAGGAGTCGCTCATGCAGACACACGTGTGCAGTCCGTTCAACGACTACGGTGGCTGCTCGCACTTCTGCGTCGGCACCAACACCATTACCGACGTGGCCGCCGCAACGTCGCCCCGTTGCTCGTGCCCGAAGTCACTGGTCCTGTCCGACGACGGTCGGACTTGTCGCGCGGCGCCCGTCTGCGGAAACGATCATTTCACGTGCGCCGCGCCGAATGCGGCCGTAAGCAAGGATTGTATACCAGCCACGTGGAAATGTGACGGTCAAACCGATTGTTCAGACGGCAGCGACGAGCTGGGATGTCCCACGTGCTCCCGCGAGGAATTCAGATGTCAGAATCACTGTATCGGTAAGCGCGGACTTCTCTGTCTCTGATGTTGTTGTGAACAATTAAAAGTGTCACTGCACGAATGTACAAAGCGATAAATGAAATGTTATGTTATTATTCGGTGTCTGTTTCTCTACGCAGAATTGTCTTGGGTATGCGACGGGACACAGCAGTGTCCGGATGGCTCGGACGAGGCACAATGCTGCCAGGTCGGGCAGTTTCAGTGCGTCGGAAATGGTGTCTGCATCTCCGGGGCATCGTTATGTGACGGCTGGGACGATTGCGCGGACGGCAGTGACGAGCTACCGCCAGCTTGCCTCAGTCCGCACAATCCGCACCGCCAGAACGCTGGACCTGGAATCAACGAATCCGGCAAGCTGACCTATATCGTCATCATTTTGGTAGTGGTATTCGTGCTCGTAACAGGTGTTCTGAGCTACTACTACTGTCGTAAAAGGTTATTATCATGTCAAGTTAATGCGAAAGATATTTATTGTATTTGTTAAATAACCGAAATCGAGATCGTACAATTTTGAGTAATTTTTATTATTTTTATCAAAATATTAGTTTATAATATTTATTTTTTTTAATAAAAAAAAACTTAAAATTTTTAATTTAGTAATTTTAAACGGAAGCTTTGATATAGAAAATAACATAAGGAAATGAATCTTTTGCAGATAAGAAAATATTGTATTATATTATTATTTTTATTATTATAGGTTTACTGGAAACGAGGGTTTGCCTGATATACTTCACGATTCGGCAGGAGATCCGTTGTCGCCGAAACCCGGCAACACTCGAATGGTCAAGCCGATGTTTGTCTCGCAAAAGAGTAACCGAAAGGATGGAGGAGGCGGAGGCCTTAAGATCGGGATGGAAGCCGTGAGAATGTCCATGTTGAATGGAAGCAGTCTTGGCTCTAGTTATGATCGCAGTCACATTACAGGTAGTGTATCTTTAAAGGCTCTCTAATTGGAATGAAATCTCAAAATCATGTTGTATATCTCAAGACTTGTAGACCTCAGAAGAAAGATCATAGAAACTTAAGTAAATAAATTATCATTTTTAGAAAAATAACATTTTTATACGTATATCTTTGTATGGTATTTTCGTATCATTTTTTTTTCACGCTTAAAAAAGAATGTTCAAGCGAAAAAAAAGCGAAAGGCTGAACAATGTCTGTATTGATTACTGTCCACATTTTACAAATTCTTATATTCCGTTCTCGCCAGGTGCGTCGAGTTCTACCAGAGGAAGCTCTGCCGGTGGATATCCTCAGGAGACTCTAAACCCGCCGCCGAGTCCGGCGACGATCGTCAGCTCGACGCGTTGCTCGAGCAGCAACGCGTCCCGCTACAAGCCGTATCGGCACTACAGGAGTATCAATCAACCGCCACCACCGACTCCGTGCAGCACCGACGTCTGCGACGAGTCGGACTGCAATTATCCGGCGCGCTACCGTTACGAGAGCGAGCCGTTTCCGCCGCCGCCCACTCCACGTTCCGTTTACCATAGCGACGCGGCGATCAGCTGCCCACCGTCCCCGAGTTCCAGATCGTCCACGTATTTTAGCCCTCTACCGCCACCGCCGTCGCCGGTGCCTTGAGAAGAGTTCGGAAGACGTGGAGACGTGTATAACGCTCTGGTACTTCTACTTTTGCATTTATCTTATTTCAGTATTCCTCTTTACTCCGCCACTCTGTCGTCTCTCGTCAATACTTAAATCTTACGTTTACATAATTACGGCCGATCGCAAATCGACCAGTTGCGCATAGAAAAAGTAATTTGCTTTCAAGGCAAATAATAATTGAGAATTCAATTGTAGCTTTGTTAAACAATGACAAAAATATATTAGCCTTCAAAGCAATCTTTGCAAAATAACGAATTTAAAATGGATACGCTAGCGATATTATACTGGTGCATATTAAAGATCTTTATACGTTGGTTTATTAGATGCATGTATAATAAGCGATTGAATCCAGATGTCCGACATATTTTATCGTATTGTTTAGCGGAATGCATTCGAGCATATTTTATTCACAAAGCGCTTATTTATGTTTTACATTTATATATATATATATTTTTTAATACATTAGTAAATAGATCAGTGCATGTATATATAACTAGATTTTTTATACACACACATATATATACACACACACACATCACATATAATGTGCTTTAATCTGCACCAGTGTATTAATCCAAAAAATTATATTGGATATTAGTATACAATTATTCGTTAACATAATAATAGTTTCGTTAGAAATACTACAAGATCAATATGTAATCCGTACAAAGAATTAAGATAAATTGTACAGGTAGAACGTGCCGGAGCGAAATTCTATTCAAGGAAGCATTTTCTTACATCATCTCTCGTTTTGCATTTTTTACTTTTTATGATAAAATTCGAGAATATAATTTGTGAGAGTTATACGATACATTAGATTACATAAGTTTTTTTATATAACTCTCATCAACTCTCATTAACTCATTAACGGTCATTTTTTGGGCGATAAAACTTCTCTTACGGAAAGAAAATAATTTTATTGATCTTTTTAAGTTTTTAATTTCGGAACGTAATAAAGTTTCCCAGAGAAATATAATTTTATATTTCAATAACATTACAATAATAATACATTACTCTAAGACGGTTGAAGACCGTCGTAGTTTAATTTAAATTGTAATTATTATAATTATATATATCTGTTATATATATATATATTATACATATAATTATATACGATAAAATCATATATAATTATATTATGCAATTATATAATTTATATAATTACATTGTGTATTATGTAATTATTGTAATGGCCTTTAATGCGTTAAGCTCAAAAAGCAACGAGTGGCAAGATTTTTAGACTGATAGGAATATTATTATTTGTATAAGATTTACTTGTATGTATATTAATAATTCTGAACTCTTCATATTGGAACGTGCCCTCCCACATTATTATATCGAAAAAGATCGAGTCGAAAAAAAGTGTACTAGATAACAGTGTTTTGTGTGCGTGCATTGAAAGCTTTTAATTCTGATTTAAAGTTTAGTACATCATAACAATTGACATGACATTTAAATATATTTTTATTTGTAGGACATAAGTTAATTTTTTTTTTTTATTGAGTTATACCGGGAGAAAAAACAAAACTGCCTCAGGGCTTTATCTCTCGGCGCGTCCCATAACAGAGTTCAGCGTATAATAATTATACCATTTGTGCCTGCTATACATTTTCATAGTTTGTAATGTACAAAGAAAAGATAATTCTACCGCGACTACTTTGTAAATATCTAATGATTTAGCGAGTGGCGTAGTTTCTATGAAATTACGCTTCTATTACATCATACTTGCAAAGAAAAACATACACGCACAGCGTACATGACCGTAACTTAAGGATAAGCATTAGAGGAATATTCGTCTCGGAGAATGCCCCTTTTTTTTATCTGTAAGTGCTGTATGGACGTGCATTTATCTGTATTAATTGTGATATCAAAGTATATCATATTATTATTACTGTATCGTTAACAGCATGTTATTCATAATTTAATTGATATGGCAGTTGACCAAAGGCTGCGTTTCATATATTTTATTATCAAATTTATGACACTTTCCGTGTTTCTTTGCTCTAAAATGGTGACGGTTTTATATATATCGTATTTGTAAATTTTCTCTGTGTGACAAAAGTGTAGGGCGGGGGAGGAAGAAAAGAGAAAAACGATATTCACCTTCCTGCCATAAGATATTTTTACTACGTTTCCTGTTAATATTTTATTTGTTCGTTCAATGGTTAATCGTTATCTTGCGGAATATATTTATGAGAGTGTTCGACGACTAATATCATATCCGTCTACATACACTTAAACATGTACACACGCTCGCACAGATACACGGACTAGATGTAGTAACACGGAGATTAATGCGGTCAATCGAAATCGTAGCAATAATTCAATGCATCTTACGCGTAGAACGTTTAACATTGTAATCGCGCGCCATACGATGTATATACCATGTCGACGCAGAAGCGGCGTATCGTTAACGCACACATACAATCCGTTCCTGTAAAAGCGGGTATACGGCGAGTGAACGAGCAACGAACGCGAAATCAGAAATCTCTCTTTCGCGTCGCCCTCGCGAGCGAACGTCTTCTCTCGTTTCACTCCTCTGAACTATTTGTTTCTTCACTATCGCATCGTAAGTTCTTCCTTGAGAGAAACCAGGAAAGCCCATTAGTGAAGAAACACAAGCGCGGAAAAGTGTTTCGCTGATATCCTACGAGTTGTACGAGATCTTTTCAGCCTTCCATTTTTATTAGGAATTCATTCTCTGCACCTTTTTCCTCGTTGTCTCCTTTCTGTAATCTTTATTCCTGCCTCATCATTCATGGAGATGAAAATAACCCGATCTTCCCGAACTTATCAACTTCCGAATCTCGCATTCGCTGTTCGTTCGTTCTTAGCGCTTTAAGCGCGATCGCCGTATTTTCGGGAAACTGTGCCATAAATTGTACAATAGTTCTGTATGATACGCGTTAACCGTATCGCAGCCTGTACAAAATACGCAAGGATTGCAAGGACCCCTACCTCGCATTGCGATTTCGAAACGCCTTTTGAGAGAAAAGAAAAAAGAAAAAACAAGAGCAAACTAATACATTACTATATTATTCTCATTTCAACACGCGCGAAAGACTGAAGAAAATATTACTGCCTATATTATTTTTACATCCTCGCAATTTGACGCGCGCGTGCGTCCTCTTGCGTAGTCGTATTATGTAGCATATTTATACAGTGAATAAACTTGTTTGTTAACGTAAAGAAATAAAATCTCCATGGAGGATTTTCTTCTTCGAGCTTCACTTCGATGCGACCGATCGGTATATTATACGCAGAGCGAATATATTTAATAGCGATAACTTTTTAATAGTGCGCCAATTATTTATCGTATAAGTTACCTTGAAAACTCGGTCGAGATGGAATTTTAAGGAATAATTGAAGCGTATAATGATGGAAACGGATGAGATCTATTTCCACTTGTTGAGCGAAGAGCCGCGATACTTGCTCGATGAACCCTCTCTCTCGTCCTGAACCGCCAACTCCTCGTCCAGGAGTAACTCGAAGTTACCCAAAGCTTCCGGGGAAGGTGATTTGTTCCATTTCACGCTGTTCGAAAATTAACCAATCGCGAATTAATCTCGTAGGTTTACTTGAGATTTTGCATTTTATTAGACGAATGGATGTCGTGCAGCACACTTACTCGGGCATACCATCGGGAGGCAGGATCACTGATATGATATTGTCGATTAATTTGTACTTCAAGATCCTGTCGTTCACTGTCGTGGATGTAAGAGACGGCGAGGCGTTTACCGTGGGGGGGGGGGAATCAAAATTTTCGAAATTTTTGAAGATTTCAACTGACAAGAACAAACATCACGGAAATGCAGTCCTCCTCCAGTTTTGATGAGGTTTTTTTTGATGAGGAATATGTTGTATTCTAGGTCAAAATAAAGGATGCACATTTTTTATATGCACTTTTAGAGGGTGAACAGCCCTTTGAAAGAAATTTTTTTGCGATTTTTTTCTGAAGGATGTTTCATCCCCTAAAAGTATGTATAGGCATGTATAAAAAAAATCCATTATTTTGATCTAGAATACAACATAAAATTAACATTAAAATTTAACATTAAAATCGGACGGTGACACGTACATACATACTTTCGTGTGATTCTTTGTAAATGACGAATTACGAAGGACGAGAAACTAACGCACCTCGATCAGCCACGGTTTCAACTTGTTGTCGATGATGATGTCGTATCCGTAACACTCGAAACAGTGCCGGTCATTTGCCATCACCGGTGCCACCGCTTTCAGTGAGTGCACGATGCACCAGGAGATGTTGGCGAACAGCTTCTCCGTAACCGCCTTCCCGCGCGTGCTCTCCAGATACAGACGCAGATTCTGCACGCTCAGCTTACCGCCGTGCTTGCTGTTATACTCGTCCTGAAATTCCCGCATTCGACAATTCTTACGCGGATACGCGAAAGATATTCACATGCAAACTATGTCATTAGAAGTTGAAATTTTGACAAACTAGATGTCCAGAGATTAGAAACGTCTTGAAATCTAATATTCCAAGACTGGATAATTTTTTTTTATTAAGAATTATATAAATTTCGATCTAAAAATATTTTAAGTAATTTTTTTTTCAAACTATTTGAATAAAAAATTGCTCGCTTTACAATTTGGTTTAGGCTCCTTAAAAAATCATATATTTGCATCGACCATTCCAATTTCTTAATTTCTAACACTTTTAATTGTCTGATTTAATAAAGATTATTTTGAATTCAATTGTCAAGGTAAAGCGAACAGCGAAAAATGAAAAACACGTGTGGGGTATCATTTTAACATATTTTTTCAGGTAATTTTTCCATGTGAAGAAAGACAAAGGAATAAAAAATATATATTAAGTCCTATAACAATCTAAGACAGTATTTCATTGTGAATAATGTACATGATACGTACGCCATGCTTTTGCACGGACACATTCGTCAGATGCACATACATGTTGTCGAGCTCTTGAACGCTGGTGTCGTACTTAACGGTGCAGAAGCGGCAAAATCCTAATTTAAAGAGATACGCTTTGAGCGGCCGAAATGACGTGATGAGAACGTACAATCGGAGATCGAATTTCTTGCTGCCGATCAGCAGCGGATTGTCAATATATCTATACGTGGGAAATAGTCCCGGGAAAAAAAAGAAATCGACAGCTTTGATACCTTTACCGGTGAGAATTCCTCGTGAGGGGATATTCTAACAGTCGGGAAATCGTCTCTGATTGAAATTGACATTAAGTACCTGGATATGACGTACGACTCTTTCGTTAAGTTCGGATTGAACGGCGTCTTTGCCTCGCGCGACCATTTCTTCAGCTTGCTCAGCTTGTTGATAAGGAATATCCCGGCGCCCTGCGATTTGCCGCATGGCTTCATGATCCAGGTACTCTGCGGGGATTTGCGATATTCTTCCACGAACATATTGTAATCTGCGGCATAAGTAATCGAAATGTAAAACTAAAAACAAACCAGATAAATTCTCACTTGAAATACTGCAAATAAAACATCTACAGGAGAGACAGATCGCTTTGATTTGATGTAAGGTGATCATTGACATTCCAAACCGGACTGCAGCGTTCAGTGTTCGATATTTTCAAGAACAAGCTTTTCTTGAAAAATATTTTTCAGATCAGTATTTTAAATTTATAAGAGATTGAATTTTATAAATTTACGAAAAACAATCGCCATACTAGGTTTTATCAAGAAATCACGTTTCCGCATTGATAATCTAATTTCTATAGGGTCTAAATTATAGAGAAACATGACCTTACCCGCGGGTAAGACGAAAGTCACGGGTATAAAGTCGAGGTACATATATTTGCCTGGACCCTCCGTGCGCTCCGCCAAAGGATTTCCCTCTCTCTCCAAGTCCTTTCTGTAGCGCTTAATGTTCTTCACCAGCAGATCTTTGCGCGTGAGCTCGTAGTGATTCGGGAAGTGATTGATGATTCTGTCATAAATAAATATTTCTTTCAAAATGCTCAGTTTTTTCTTTCAAATATTCAATTTTTTTCTAAAAATAATTTAGCTCTAAAAAATAAAAGTGCAGAATTTTTCATAACTTCCATAACATGTCACTTTTTTTGGAATATATATTAATTTCTAATTACATATATATAATGACGTATTATATATAATAAATATCCTTGTAAAAAAGAAGAATTATGTATTAAAAGAATTCAAATTTTTACATACAATCTCCGGTTTTTTAAATACACATTTAAAATATTTTGGAAGCAAACTTTTGAATTAAGACTTTATTTTTAAATTTTATTATTAATTGCGACTGATTTTTTCGATTGGAAAAAAAACCTTACTGATTATCGTCCATTCTGTATCCAGTTTCAACGCTGAAGATATTCCTGCAGGATTGAGTAACGGCCCTACGATAAATAATAAAATATTATAATAAATTCCCAAGTAATGTACAAATTTTGTACTGTAATTTATAATTACCAATAAAAATTCCAGTCGTCTTCAGGACCAACTTGCGTCCAGCCGCGTTTCTCGAAGTTGTGTACAATCACAGATTTGTCCACATCCGTGCAAAATGTAATCCTTGTTCGATCCATCCCAATCGATGGCACTCTGCAGTCATGATCAGTATAATATTATTATAATTGCGGTCATGCAAGAGTCAACTCATGTTGTAATATTTTTATCTTGCTTCAGATAATTAACAGAAAACTTGCACACTTCTATATAATGTATCTCAAAACTAATAATTAAGGAAATTATTGTTTCAATGCAAATTACAAGAGTCTATACTTTTAAATTGTCTTAAAATAAAATATTTATAATAATTTTAAGCTAATCGACAATAAAATAATATAATAAAAACGTTAGGCAAGGCTGGAAATAAATAAATAAATTTTTTTAATTACTTTTTTAAAAACATAAATTTTACGTTAGAAAGTTATAAAGAATTCGCGAGAATTATATATATATATATATATATATATATATATATAAATAAAAAGATAGATTTTTCATTCCTTTTCATTATCTTTACTTATATTATATAGAAATAAATTTTGCATCAGGCAGCTACTGCAGAAAATTTGTCAAATTTCTAAAGAAGAGATAAATGAAATAAGCAAAGAGGTAAATTTTAAAAAGTCACAGAAAATATAATAAACTTGAATAATAAATTTTATCAATACATTTTTTCCCGAAAAACTAATTTGAGATAGTCTGAGAATTAATTAACTCTTTAAACGTTCACTGAAAATCGAGCTTGAAAAGGAATTTAACCCGAGAGGAATTTAACCTTGGTGTATATTTTTAAGCATTGCGAGCAGTGGTTCTTTAATCGTCTCGAATGGCGTATTTGCATGAAATTGCTACGAATTTCATTTACCTGCCGTAAACGGCGCAAGCGTTTGGATTCGCAGCCCGTTTGCTTTCCGCGGCCATGTTCGACACTATAAGTTCTCGATACTTACGAGCCGTGTCGTTTGATCGATACCTCAACTATGACCCGTCCGAAGTCCGTCACGAAATCGAATGCGAACAAATAAATTTCAAATTACTTCGCAAATTTAGTCAATATGTATATTTATGATTTAAATAGAATTTTAATTCATAATGGCAGTTTAGTTCCTATCTGCGTACAACCGGTAATTTAATTATGGATAATTGGTTTCACATTTAGGTGGTGTCGATCGATTATCACTCTATTTTCCGCTAGCATTCGTTTTTCGCCGTTTAATTTCACGACACTATAGGTATATTTCCAGTAAATGGAATTAAATTAAAATAGATTGAGAAAAATTTATTTCAACGTTCTCGAATGCGTACTTCTAAAAATTATCTGAATCCGTTTCAATGCTCAATGCCTTCGTATTCATTTATAGCAGTTGCATGATTACATTTATAATAATATGATAATATTTATTTATAATATTTTCTATACCGTTCAATCTGAAAGTAAGATTTGAAAAGTAAATCATGAATACTGATGGTTAATTCAAAATTTTAGATAGAAAATACAGCTTTTCAGTCTAATTAAATTTAAAAAATATATAGTTTATAATAACATATAAGTTTTCCGTAAAAATAAACCATGAACGTTAATTAAAAATTGTGACTAGGAAATGCATTGTTTCAATCTATTAAATCCAAAAAATATTATATTATATTAATATTATAGTAAAAATATTATATTATATTCGTAAAATTCGTACTAATTTAATTATTATCTCATCCTATCTTAAAATTGCCATGTTACCTGCATAAAGCCTCTTTTCCCCAATATTTAAAAATTTATATCTTCCAGAAAAATAAAGATATTGACTAATTCTTTTTGGGATCATCTTAAAGATGAATTATGTGGTTATTTTTTAAAAAAATCGTGATTTTATTTAAAAATGGCCAATTCAATATGGCCGATCAAAACGTCATTTTCTTGAAAATTTATTTTTTTCAAGAAAAATTTTTTTTTTTCAAAAATTGTTAAAATTTGTTTAATTAAAATGTAAATTGGTATAAATGTTATTGGAAGATGTATGGGGTTTAATATGCAGTGCACGCAAAGCGCGCGCCTGTTATGTATTAGTATTAATAAATTTTGCATGTTAATCTTAGGAAAACTTTTATTGCAACGTGATTTACTTACCTTGGCACAATAAGTAACCTTTTGTCGCATTGACGTATATCATTAGCATACTGACTGCTATTTTATACATCATTCATGAATAATTAAAATATCTCTGTTTGAATAATTAAAATATCTTTGTTTCCAAAAGCATCCCGTTATTTAAAAATTTAAGAAGTTTTACCGATATTTTAATGCAAATAAAATAAATTATGAGGAAAAATGTGTTTGCAGGCTTTCTGAAATATAATAAGTTTAATCTTTTCAATGAAATTAAATGGTTTATATATACATATATATATAAAAATAAATAACATATGACTTAATTAATGCGTTATTAATCAATGTGATTAATTTTGAAATGTAATTCTCTTTACAAAGCGTTTACTATGAATTACTGACTACAAGGTGGACAAAATTAGTAGAATTGACAAGGAAGAGAATGTTAGTTTTATTTAGAGAAAGAATTAGTAAGGATACATTTGTTTTGTGTAAAAGTAAACCTCTAGATTTTGTAAATGAAGATCCAGATAACACGCACGTACGTCTAATAGCATGATATCTAAAAGACATCTTTCAGACATGCCTGGAAGACTCAAAAATACGTGTGAGTCTTTCGACAGAATTAACTTAGATAGCAATATATCCAATATAGGAATATAAGAGTCTATGTCTTAAAGATATCAATTTCAAATCTTTTAGATATATAATATCATATTACGTATTTTTTTATTCACATACATGCTCTAAAATCATTCATCATTATCTAAAAACATTATAATGTCATACGGTCAATAAGCAAAGGTTAAACAGTTACAAAGTGACATTCAATTTGATATTGACGCACATCCTCCTATTTTCTTCGGCTTTCTCACGACATATACAATTGTGTATGTGTGTAAAAAATAACGACTAAAAAAATTAATATATTAAATTATGTAATGCGTAACTTTGATTTTTGCTTGTTTAATAGACATTTCCAAATAATGATCTTAAACTTTTAGCCGGCAATGTAAATGAGAAGAAAACAATAGCCGAATTATAAAATTTCAATTGCTTATGTTGTAACAGCAACAACTGCAGTTTATATAAAGAGAGGTTTTGTCGTTAAAAGGTTCAGAGTCATTTCTCATCTGCAACTCAAACGAAATCACCGTAATACAACAAACATCAGAAGCAGGTAGACAAATAGACAGTGCGAGTAAACAAAATAAGTACATAAAATACACATAGCATATATTTTTCTGGATTAGCCGCAGAATTATTAAAACCATGGACGACACAGAAGTATGTACATCGTGGAACGGCATTGATTCCGGGGAGGAAATCGTTATTTCTGGTATTGCTGGTAGATTTCCTGACTCAGATAACGTGAATCAATTACGAGAAAATTTATTCAATAAAATTGATCTTGTTCGAGCCGATCACGGCCGATGGGAAATAGGTGATTCACAAATCTACATTAAAATTTAACATTTATGCCTGATTGGTATAGACATTATAATACCAATCATTCTGCACTAACTGTAATTACAACCTGATATGTCAATGAAATGTACTGTAAACTAAAATTTTATATAAAAAAATGAGCAAGACGCATGAAACATCTTTATGTGAATATCCATTATTTATTAGAGCATCCGGACCTACCAAATCGTATGGGAACAATTAGAAATATGGAAAAATTTGATGCAGATTTCTTTGGATTATCTTTCCATCAGGCACACGTACTCTCGCCCGAGGCGAGAATGTTATTGGAACATTCTTATGAATCAATTATCGATGCGGGGATCAATCCAAAGCGATTAAGAGGAAAAGATACTGCTGTAATTATAGGGACGTCTTTTATAGAATCGCAAGAGAAATTTTTATATGA